CTCCACCGTGAACTATGTTAAAAACAAACACCGCTCACGCCTCACAGATAACAGCTTACAGTCCTGCGTAAAGATGAAAGTGACTTCGTACAGCCCCGATCTGCAGACGCTGTGTGCAGAGGTTCAGGAGCAGAAGTCCCATTGTAAACATATCACGGCAGACCCGACGATTTTTGCATGAACATGCTTTACAGCTTCTCTTTATTGACCACTTTTCACACACGGTTGCTGACGCATACAGCCGGCTGTAACTTTTCAGCTCACAGCCCGACGCACACCAACACAACAGCACAGACGTAAAGGCGGCGAGGCGTGACTGTGGGTGCCGCTCAGGTGCGGCACCCACAATGGCTCTTTCGGTGTTAAAGGTTGCTGACCCCTGGTACCCCTGGTACGCTTTGGAGCGTGATGTCACGAAAGGGAAGCGTGGTTAGGATTTTTGGTTGAGGCGCCATCTCCCTGGGCCGAACAAAGCTCAAGCGAAAGAGGAGCGAAAGCACACACATCAGCTACAGTTCGTTCTTGCTGTGTGGTCGGCTGTAATGTTCGATCGCACGACTGGCAAGGGAAAAAGCTTGAGAATGGTTTGTCTTTTTATGCTTTCCCAACCTGGAAGCAACATGAGGCAGCTCATATAGCGGACCTTACCCAAAGAAGGCATCTAGCCTGGATAGCCGCCGTGAGACGAGCTGATATCCAGTTCGCTTCCATCTCCAAATATCTGTTGGTGCTCCAGACATTTTCATTCCAATAAGTTCAATATATGTTCATGTCACTCTTTATAGCTTAATAATTTTATTGTTGATGCACTCGGAGGTTATAGAAATTGCGAACAAACATCGTATTGAGTGACTTTGCAGACATGCTGTGTAAAGATTCGCTAATTCTTTCGCACAACTGTAGGGAAGCCAAACAAATCCAGACTGGGTACCAACGCTGCACATGGGGCACTCCGAAATACGAACTTCACATTCTGACCGTCACAGACGGCAAACGCAACGACAACAACAGAGAGCGCTAGTCGGAGGTAAACACCACCCCCACCCCAACCAAAGGGTTTTAAGTAATATCTAACCGGATTATCAATGTAGTAGTTTGCATCTACTTTACAATTATGGAGACATAATATGACA